ATGAAACGAAATATCGTCAACGAATGTCGCGGCATATCAGTGGATCATTTGCAGAAAGTGTTAGCCATTAGCATCCGGCGAGTACTGCTGTGCAAGCAAAACGGCGGTGGGCATTTTGAACATGTATTTGGTTGATTTTTATGCTTTTGAAACATACTTCATAAAAATCTGTGTATAATGCATAGCGATTGATTTCACTAGCACATTGTTGAGATGGGTTATGGTGCGCAAAGTTCGTCAGAGTTGAATGAACGCTAAGAGGAAAGAGAACAAGATGGGTACGTGAGAACCGCCCGATCGCTCAATTACCCGACAGGGTGCAGGCGTCGCTGCTGATGTTTACTGTAAAGTTGACGGCGGTGGACGAAACGGTTGAAGCTCAGTAGACTGCTTTCTGCGCTTCTTGCAAGCCAGTCACGTACTTTCGTTGCCCATATGACGTTGAACTTGTGTTTGCCAAGTAACAATTAGGATTACCGTCATTCCTCTTACTGCCATGATTCTCCAGTGGTAAAGGAACTGTCGCTGATAAATTACGTAGGAGCTACATGATAGAAATGTTTTCACCACCGATTATCGTTGGCTGCTTCGGCATGTCGCTGCAGCTTTTATAGATTCAATATGGCGCACCTGCTCATTATACATAAACGGTGCGACATTATCTTAAGGAGGTGTTCGGTCACCGGTGCATTGGTCGCGCTTTACCTCACACCTGAAGGAATGACCGTTTGTCAAACATTACCATAGTGGATTGCCAGGAGTATGGATACAGGCTGTATTTCTGCCACTCTGCTATCGCAGTCCATATTACTTTCCGCTATTTATTGGCCATTTTTGGCTTGTCACTGGTGAGTTTCAATATGTTGAGTTTGCCATAACACTTTTCTGCCGGCGGCAATTTTATCAATTCTGAGCTGTAAATCGTTGGGGTTACGGTATTCTCTATGTTCATGCGTGTGTCTCTTTGTCCCCGCTGTTAACTTGGACACTGTCGCTTATTACTTAAATCAATGTTGGTTTTTACATATCTGTGTCGAGGTTATGCTCCAGAACGTTTTGTCTTTACTAAAAAAATGAATATATATAGATATATTTATCGCCACACGGTACACGGCCTTCGTCAACCCCCCAAAAACATGTGTCCACTCACCGCAATGAAGGTTTTTAGTGACCGTTAAACTATGCATTAACCACCAGTTTTAAGCACCAATTCATAAGCACCTTCGATGGTGACTTTTTCGCCCACATTATTTGGCCATATTTTCTCCGGCTTTTTGTTTTCTGATTGAGAGTGAAGTCAGTTGGTATTACTTATGGCATGTAAATAATTTTTCGCAAATAGTATCGTAAATCTTGGATGCACACCGTGCTCTAATCAATTTAGCATCGTCGTTACATTTTCTAGAAAGCAGTTGTCAAAGAAAGACGACAGATCATTTTGATGTTTGCAGGACAGATGTTAGCAAGCTCCAAAGATATCAACACGAATACTTGGAGAGACACGATAATGAAAGAGTAGATCTACATGGGAAGAAACGAAAAACCTCACACCGTGGATTCAATGAGTCTATGCTGCACCGGTCTAAGCAAATATGGGCAGCTAACCCACGAATTTGATGGCCGAGTATTCAAGAAAATGCTTAAAGCTTCTCACAGGAATTTGAGGGTTGCAGATTTTCAGGCATTCAATGTTTGGCTAGAGAAATTTAAAGTCTAACAAAACTTTTCTCAAAAAGGTTTATGTGGGGAGTTCAATGAAGCGCTTGAAGGGTTTGTCCAAGAATTCATTGAAAAATTTTCCATCAATGGCGACATTTTTAACACTAACAATTGCGCGATTTTTCAAGGTGTTGCCTAACAGAAGGCTTGTTATAATAGTTGACAAATCTAAGAGTAGCAAACATTCCATAGAACGTTTCACAAATCCGTTATGCGCTACATCAATTGGGGAGAAGCTAAAACCTCTGGTAATTGATAAAGTAGTTGGATCACGTGTGTGCAAAAACCGAAATGCTGAAAACCTTCCACTCCCTTAGAGATCAAACCAATCCGCGTGGATGACTGCTTCCATATTTGTGGAGTACAGCAGAAACATCGAAAAAGAACTGATGAAGAAGAAACACTTCATTATCCTAAAAGTGGACAACTGTCCTTGTCACACCCATGTAAAAAAGCCAAAATACTAAGCTTACGTTGCTTCCTCCAAACATGACCCTGCAAATTCAGCCACTGGACCAAGGGATCATCAAACTGTTCAAAGTGCGCTACCGAGCCCAGCTCATGCAATGTGCTATGGCGAAATTACATACTATTGTTTCAAATGCGGAAGGAACTTCATCTGTTGCTCCAGTTAATTCCTGGGTTGCTGTGCTTTGAATAAGTTCCGCTTGGTTCAGAATTCAACCAGAAATACTACAGGAGTGCTTCAGAAAAGCCGGATTTGTTCAACCTCTCAAGCGGGATGCTGTCGGCTTAGTAGACATTCCATCTCCATTAACAGAATTCGACGGAATGGATTTTAAAGAGTTTGTTGAAATGGATGATGTCTTGTTAACTTGCACTGAACCAGATGCAGATGCTATTTTCCACGAGATACTGACTGCGGTACTTCCCTACGGAAACAAAGAACAAACAACTTTGGATGCTGAGGAAGAAGTAGAAGGGATGGGTGACGATGATTTGGAAAGGATAAAAACTCCAAAAAAGATGAAGTCAGACATCTTTTAATGCAAGTGAAAGCATTTGCTTTGAACAAATGCCAAAGCATGTTAAGTAGTGTAGCATGCTTTGAGAGCGCTTTTTTCAAGTGCCTTTGTGATAAAAAAAGAAATAAAATATTGTGCTTTTCTTTAAAAGACGCTTGAACTTGCAAAACGCACACTGCGTTTTAGTGTCATAACATTATGTGCTTGAAATGCATTTGCCTTTACGTGTTCAAAACAGCTTTACGTTGAACTAAATTGCATACCATACTACTCACAACGCAGAAGTAGGTTGCCATAAGTTTTAACATAAAAGCTCCGTAAGTTGATCACCTCTCTATGTTGAGCACTTTGGTCCAGTCGCTTGAGTGGTCAACTTACGGTTGAAACACTGCTTAACCACCGGAATCATTTATGGAACAGCGGTGTGTTATGAGTAAAAAGGGAACGCTAAACAAGTATCTTGAGGTGGAAAGTTTTGAGAAAATATGGATTCACGAAAAAAGGTGAAGTGTTTTGATGGACTCACCGTAGTTATGCGAGAAGGAGCAGAGATGACCGCGTGATAAAGTATAAATCCATAGATGCACTGGTTGCACTTCTGGAAATAGATAGACAGCTAGCTTTTACAGAATACCGAAAGTAAAGGGTTCGGACCAAACTTCGAACTTTATGCTACACAAGTGCATTCAGTCCGAGAGCGACTGCATATGCTGAAAAGCATTGGACTCTATTCCTCAGTGTTGGAGCTTATCAGTAGTGCTCCTTCAGCCTGCTATGTGGAGGGCTACTACCTGCTACTGTGCTCTCAGCGGGTCCTACTTAATGGCATTTGGTTTTGAAGGATGAGATGAGGTCATCCTGAACAAGTGATCAAAGGGAACGTATAGCGAAGCTAAAGGTCCTGTTGTTGGTCAAGCGGATGAGAAGTTTGTTCATAAACAACAGAATGCAAGTAACTAACTTTGCGCTAGTGGCTGATTACCAGTTACTTGTACCCAGTAGAATAAAAGCGAAATGCGCAGCACTCGAGCTTAGTTATCCTCAAACTCACGGTGGAGCAAGCGTCTTGTTCTAGTTGACTCATCTTTGATCTCCTGTTATTGCACACTGGCTTAGTGAATACATAAATGATGAAATATGTATACTGCTTTTGTTGTTATTGATGTAGTAACTTTTATGTGCGACTCAAGAGTAAAATGTGCTTTAATTGCCAATGACCATTCACGGAGCGCTGTTTTATCATTTCGGCTGCTCTGAAAGTTAGACAAACGATAGATAAGTATAACCCCTTCACTCTGTTTATTGCATCAACTATATCACGAATTGGCTGTTACAGGCGAAGCTAGAGGTAGCCTCACTGATGCTGTTACAACTGGATAAGGGATAAGGAATATAGAAATCCAATCTAATCCATGGTTTACGGCAGCAGGTTCCGGATCATCCCTCATCGTCACTAAGTTCTCCATGTCTTAGTCAGCCACCAAGTGCAGACGAGTGATGCTGCTATCCAGCGGCTTATTTGGCGTGCTTGGTGTAAATTTGGTGCTCATGTATGATGTCAGAGGGATTGTAGCTCGATCAGTCAACAAATGAAAGATAACTGAGCTACACGCTGTGTCGGATCTCCTTTTTCTGTTGCGTCGCTTCTAAGCGAAAGCACGGGTTAAATCTGAACCACTGTGACTGTGATTCCCCGGAAGCTGTCTACACGTGTTCACTGATGTGTCTTGGAGCGGTTGTTGCGATAGCACCAGTACGTTGGCATGTTCCGTACCGACAAAATTATTAAATCCATGGTGACCTGGTTAGATTGTTTCTTGCTGACTCTTATACTCTTGGCACCGTTTACTGTGGGAAGGTTGCAGTTAACTTGAACAGAGTTAAATGAGGCCTGTATTTGACAACGTGTTATGTAGGATGCAATACATGACATTAGCGATGGTACCACACGCAGTCCACTCGAAACCGAACCATGAGACTGGGGTATTATTACATTGTCGTTCGAGTGTGACGATTTTAGGATGGTCCAACATCAATCTGTATCATATTTTTGATTCTCGCACTTCAAAACTCAGGCATGGCACACAGCGCATTAGAAATACTCAGAAATGTGGGCTGGATCAATAATATCACTGAATAAAAATATCGCTCATTCCTGCGTGCAGGCGCTTAGAATACCTGTAGATTTTCTCTCCAGCACCACCACAGTGAACTTCAATTGTTCTATTGCAAATCCTACTGTATCATCTTTATGTACAGCATCTATATGACATCATTTTGTTATACGCCTTGTAGGCTATTTGTGATTCAAAATTATTCGGTTTCTTGCAAAGTGAATGCCTCTCTGGTGAAGGAATGGAATGGAGATTTTCCGATACAAATTGCAATCCGTTTGGTCATCAGCACGGTGAGTGTTTATACCACACGGATATTCTTCCATTTCATTTGGGACACCATTACAAATGACACGGAAACGATTTTAACTGAATGTTGTTTCAAGCCCTCAGTTAATTTCCTTCACATTCCCAGCTAGTTCATTTTATGTGGTGGATAACCCTCTGCTTTTCACTCCATGCATTAGAAACACCCAGCATAGCTCAGCTTTCTTTCCAGAGTGGTTTGATAATCAAATTCAGTGTGCAATGGATGTTTTCATCTACACAACCAACTATTTCACGGCGTGGGGGCGGGCTTAAACGATCAACTATAATTTGATATACAACAGAGAGTAGGTTTTTTCAACATTATAATTTAATAAGCAGCTGATTGAAATCTAACCGTCTAGCTGAGCTTTCGCTTGGCGACAGTTGTTCGCTCATGTTTGATGGCGATCACGGTGCTGGTGTGAAATGACAGGGATGTGTTAATGAGGATTAATTGTGATCATTTGAGCAAACATACGATGGAACCAAAAGGAACAGGTATTAAGGAACAGATCATGGCTCTGTGCGACAATGTAATATTTATATCGACACAGTGCATCACCAGACAGGAAGCAAACACATGTTCTTGATCCACTTAGGAAGTTAACAAGATGAGCTTTGTCCACCAATATGGCGGATTCTCCATCTTTCATACTAAAATTGCAGAATATCATAGAACAAAGCATTAGCGAGGTGGAAATTGACAGCATAAAACAGGTAAGTTGCTTCGTCAATTAAGCATATGGTCACTAAAGCGGTGTTTCATTCCTGATAGCTTGATTACTAAACGCGAAAGATAAGGCACGATAGTGTTTCGATACGAAGAGTTACGAGAATACAAAAATGTAAATTTTGTCTTTGTGCAAAGTAGATCTAGTGCTGTCTAAAATAGCATGTATAGGGTTAGAGGGTGTATTAAAATCCTGGATGCAAGGTTGATGGATGCAACAAAAAGTTTGCTAGCGACGAGATTAATGAACGATTCTTTCCTTAACTCAGTGGCAAAAAATGAATTTCAGCGAACGGACAAGCAGAACATAATCTTTCTGAAGAAGTTCGGGGAAATGACAGGGGAACAGTGGAACCAATGAAAAAGAGAACATACAGTTACGTACTTTAGAATTAAAGCACTGGGAAAGGAAAGGGTTTACGCCTGGTGGGGGAAAACTATTTCAGTAGTTTCAAGGATATGTGTAGACCATAATAAATTAGGAGATAGGAAATCTCCAAGATATTTTACGGTAGATGAAGGAGTTATGCTTTTGTCATCCACAATCATTGAAAGGGGTTAGTATATTGTAACGCAGTTTGTTTGGATGTAGAAAACGGAGTAACGTCACACACTTTGGAATGGTTTCGAGGTACTGGTAGCTTGACTAAGTCATTCGTTCGTCTGTGTTGTTAAAGTTTAAAAAAGTGCTCGATAATTGAGGTTACGCAACACAGCACGACGTCATCAGCCTATAAATTTTGATGTAATAGAGAGGCTTGACATAGGCGGACAGTAGTAAGTGGAATAGCGTGGCTCCTTTGGAAAACCAGAATTGGCTGGAAGTACATAAGATTTTATGTCGCATAAGCGCATGAAGTAGTTGCGATTAGTAAAATAATCAAACTTCACGTATATGGAAGGAAGCCGTTTTCGGACAAAATGTTGAGCAGTAATGATCTGTCGAGACTCTCAAATGCGTTGGTGTAAGCTCGGAATAGGAATCGTGCACTCTTGAATCCATTATCCAACGCCAACGCAATGGAATGTATCAGAGAAAAACGGCATCCAGTATAGAGACAAACTCCTGGACATCATCAATTTAATTGCCTGTGAAAATGCGGTGGATCAGTAGTTTTTGCAGTAGCTTTGTAAGCCGGACATTCATGCCGTTCCTCGGCATTTCCGATATGCCTTTAAGTACTGGTGTTATTTTGGCTGATTTCCAACTGTCGGGTGTGGAACCAGTCATTAAGCACCGATTCAACATCTCTGTCATTTGTGTCATGAAAACATCTGCGTATTATTTCAGAGTGATACGGCATCCGGTCCACTAGGCATGTTAGACTTGAGGGTTGTGAGCTCCTTGTAGACAATTAGTTAATTGAATACATTGGATGACTCATTAACAGTAAGAGAAGACAAGGGGATTGGGTTAGATGATATAGAACTGAACTCAGCGTTGAGTTTATCTCCATCTTAATTGGTAAATGTTCTGAAGGACTGCTTTCCGGGGAGTTATCTAAAGAAGTATTTACAGGTCATGACAAGTGTGGTTGTCTAAAACGGTATGAATGTGTAGTCGTTAACAGTTTATTTCCTCTTTTATAACCATGGACGGACGCTTAACACGATTAGCCTCTGCTAATATGCCTATCCATTTCTCCTCCTCAGTTGTTTGAGCAATAGAGATGAAAATCTGTCATTTCGCCAATAAATTTTCTCAAAGGGCACAGCACAGATCAAAACAGAAATTTATGTAGTCTGGGAGGGGTTCACTTTAAGCTGACAGGTCATCATTTGTGAAAATGAAAAAAGCAGTCTAAGACGGTGTCAATTTGAGTTTTTTTGATGTTGTCCGCTTAACAGTTCGGTTGTTTGAGCGTTCTGCATGATCCTTTTGTTAGCGCAACATAGTTGGCCTTACTTTGAATATTACTTTATTATGCAGTGGTCGGAAGTAGCAAGAGATGCACGATTTTGTGTGGATGCGCTCGTGTTCGGTGAGGAATTTTGCAAAATCACCTAAACCAGTGCAGTTACTGAAAGTTTTGTCACTCCGATTGAAGTCTCCGATGCGAACAAAGATAGAACGCTCCTAGTTTCGTTGCAGCTACGAAGCTAGGTGGACTCCAATCTTTTGCAGCGCGAATAGCGGTGTATCCGGGGTTACGTACATGTTACCAACTAAAAGGGTTAGGAAACCGCTTGGAAACCTTGGTTTTGCACTCTACTAGCTTATTGATATTTTTGAGTTCTCCGAGAGGTTGAAACGGATTTGCACCAATCTATGTTAATATAAGTGATGACACATCTAAACGATGTGGGAACTCTTTTGAGCGGTCGGATCTAATGTGGCTGTAGCCACTGAGATTACCGACTTCATTGTCAAAGTCAGGCTGCAACCAGCTTCCTGTAATTTCACTATACCTGCATTCCTGACTGCCGCCGAAAGACTGCTCACGTACTCCACGCGTGATTCACCCCATCATTATCGTGAGCTTTGGAAAGTTGGACGGTTGTCTGCCCTTACAACCAGCGAGAGGTCAAAAATGTGCACGTCATCAATGAACACGGTCCACCCGAACGGTAAATGCGAATTATGTGTTAAGGCAGTCAAGACGGCGCTTACATTTTTACCTTCTCTGATGCATTTCATTCTAAATTTGTAGGACCAAGTCCACCCGAAACTAGACAGCACAACAGTAGCAATGGACTGTTTTGGCTCTTCCAGGCGTGCAATTTCACACCGGTTGTCAGTTAGCTAATTGTGTCAGTGAAAAAGTGTAAGAATCTGAAGGAAACATTTGAGCAACTGGTGTACGCAAGCGATGCGCTTGTGGTAGTAAACTCAGCAGCGCTTTCCTCCCAAGGAACCCCTAAAGGTACCCAATTTGGGTCGGCCAAGGAAGAGAGCCAAGTTTCTCAACTCACCTCAGTGTCTCAGTTCCAACTGTCCCAACGCAATTCACGCACCGGGGTGGGCAAATCGTTTCCAGCTTGCATACTTCCACGTCTTCTAAGGATATCGCGACAGGTAATGCATTTGGCATACATGAGACTCGAAGATACAGCCAGTCCACAGTAGAGGATAACTGCACATCATACACATCGGATGCTTCCAGAACAACTCCGGAATACGCACCCATCACTACAGATACCGGACAGGATAAACTGAAGCGTCGCAGCATAAAACGCCATCATTTGTCCCGCCCATCAATCCACAGAAGGGTGACAACAACTAGGCTCAATCAACATGCCTTATCTTTTGTGTGCACTAACGTTCCCGAGTCCAAATCAAACACAATAAGCGGTAAGCTGATAGACGATGGTTATCAATGGGTTTCCATCTATATGGTCATTGATATCCATGCTTACTCCACTATACCGAGATGCATCGCAGGCCGCCTAAACACATTTTATTATGGTGAGCCTCCAATAATTTGAATAGCACTAAATTCTACGGATGAATCGGAGGCCATTCGGTTGCTTCTGAATCGACTTCACAATGCATCCGACGGAGTATGCATTCTACCGGACATCCTGTGAACGAAACTTCCAAAGGATAGGGACGACCAACAGGGAAACCGCAAATACAATGCTAGAAAACCGTTAATCTTAATCCTATCAGTTGTGGTGTTTTAGCTTTATGTGAGCCATCCAAGAGGAGCTTGTTCGCTAATTTGTGTTTCCGCTGTCCGCGCCTGGGAAATATTTTCGCTTGAAAGAATCCAAGGATCTCGTTTTGCTCAAAAGGATTGATCAGTACGTTAAACTCTGTACAAAAGGCACTAGCGATATTGACAGTGCGGTTCTTTGATGAATGCGTTTTGTGTTGCGCATATCCTAAACACTTTTACAAAGTACTCCAAATAAGTCGGATTAATCCAACCAAAATGGCGTTGAAACTGCATCCGTTAAATGAACAAGACACCATTCCTTGAGACTTAATGAGTTGGAAGGTAACCGGTGCGCATATTCCGTCAGGTTGGACAAACTGGACATAGAAGAGCACAAACCATTTGAGACCTTTGTTCAATGAATAGTCACAAAGCAAGAGCAGAGAAGCTTGGCCTCTTTTAGGCGGCAGGTTTGCGCGACATAGGAAAACAATTTACTCTTTCCCTAACGGGAAAGGTATGTTCACCATTTTACGTCCTTGCATTTGGATAAGACGTTGCTTAAAGTGTTCCCACTTGGTCCACAGTTCTACTTTCCCCCAGTTATTCAGGGCAAGTAGAATTAAAGGTTCAGTTCGTAACTTGGTATTACCAA